CCTCCCTACGCCTTAGGGACCTCCCTGGACCTTATAGGAACCCCTTCAAGGGTCACATCTCTCCATCCCAGCCACTACTAGGTCATTCCTGTCCTTGGTTGCGGTTTCCGTAGTTCCCTTCGAGCTCCAGTGTGCTCCTAGCACGCTACAATGTAAACTCGCTATACCAAAACCTACCCTAAGACCAATTCTGACCCAGGTCTTACAGTGACTCACAAAAGTGACAGTCCCAATCTGGGGAAAAAAGTCACTGAATAAGGAAGGTGAGGTAAGATTTTCTCATGCTAAAACTGCCGTAGGACAAATCCTTCATTTCATTTTGGACTTGTAAAAGCTTCCTTAGCTCAGTTGGGAGCTCGAGCTGTAGCAAATGAAGGGACACTTGGTTAGTTGGGCATAAGATGGGATATGGTGTCTTAAAATGCAGAGGACAGGGATTCAGTAGAAATTCATTGCTGTTGGAGTTTGGCAACATGGCCTTCACTTTTTTGAAGATGCTGAGCAATATTACAAGGCTGTAGTTTATGGAAGTATCATCCTTATGTACAGTACTTCATGCAAATGTAATTTCCTTTCATGGTTGTATTTTCACCTTATTTGGCCAAATGTAACAGTGAGTTGATGTCATGCCTTGCCCCTGAACCGCATAGCCCACAACCTCCTTTTCACAATTCTCAACCTCCCCAGCCTCCCTTCTGGACCTCCACAGTGCTAAACAACCTCCCTAACCATTGGCTTTCCCTTTCGGGACCCCTCAGCAACCGAACAATGCCACTACAGCACTCCAATACTTCCCCAACAGCCCTGGGACCCTATACATGCGTCCATCATTTTGTCCTCATGTACTTAGACCAACCCCATTAAGTGCCCGTTTTATACTATGTTCCTTTGTCAACTTCTGTCAGCAACTGGTTCTAGTAACAGGTGTCACCAGGTGTCACACTCAAGAAAACCTTCGATGGCAGAGCGATAAAGGAAGCAAGCAAAGTTCTGGACTAAACCAGGTAGAATAGATGAGATCAAAGCTAAGGAAATACAGCAAGTAACTACAGCTTATATACAAGTAAACAACCCTCTGCCCTAGTAATGCCCAATACCCTGGGTTAGTGGTAAACATGAGTAGTACATAAGTAAAGCAACATGTAAGTAATGAAAGCTCGATCATCATGCTATATATGTGTTGTGAGACTGCTGTATTTAATATAAGTAAATGGAAAGTGCATGTTGTATCAGTAAGCATAAATAATAGGTCAGGTGACAAGATAAGGCAGGATATAAAATAAGGGATATAGAAGATAAGACAAGAGATAAAAGATAAGACAAGATAAGGAAAAAGATAAGATGAAAAGAAGTAATCGTAACAACTTCCCTGTACCTATTTAAGCAGTTCCATAGTGTCCAAAAGCCCAGCTTGGTATATTTTGAACACACAGCCTTTACATAGGTCCAGTCCCTGTCTTATTCTCTACCCTGTAGGTACTATACGTATAGCCCCTAGTAGCTAGTCTGGCGCTCCGCCCCGATATGCCAATTAGTAGGTATAAATACTCCTGTACTATACTGTAGTTCCTCAGTTTAATTATCAGCTTAGATCATCTTAGTGTCATGCCCTGACTACAACCAGACCAGTCCCAGTACCTGTTACACGTTGTCATACATCCTATCCACCTCCTGTTCCCCCTCTACACCTCCCCAAGTACCACCATGCACCTCCCCAAGTATTGCTGACATACTTCCCCAATTACCACCATGCACCTCCCCAAGTATTGCTGACATACCTACCCAAACGTCCTTCACTCCGACACGCATACAAGACCCTCCTAACCGCCAACCCCTTTAAGTACTAATCTTGATTACCTTCCTCCCTCGACTAAGCTGCCTCATGTCTCCAGATGTTCTCTTGTTCACTTCCCGTACCTATTTAAGTAGTGCCGCAATGTCCCGAATCCCCAGCTTGGTATATTTTGAACACACACCCTTTACATAGGTCCAGTCCCTGTCCCTTTGTACCTGCTAACCGTACAGAATTCTCTTTACTCTCTGTTTCTTTATCTCTGTTTCTCCTACTCTTGTCTACTGTCTCGACAATCGTCTATACGCTTCAATACACACTTTTACTTCACGTCTAAGCAATCTGAGTGAGTCTCCGAGCTCCCTCGAACAATACTAAAGCTCCCCAACGCCTAACGCCTTGGTGAGCTAACCTCCCCAAAACCTCCTCGAGCTTCCCTATTGCTCCACAAGCTTCGGGACCTCGATCTAGGTAACGTCGAAGCTACTTCCTACATTGAACCACGTATCGCTTCTCCATTACAACCTCCCACACTCGAGGACGTCCATCCTCAAGCCCAGTCCCCGGGAACCTACCCTCCCGGGTGTATATCTACTCAGGAGCTTAAACACTCCAGACCCATCTCCAATATGACCTATTCGATCCTACATTGACGTTCTAGTGAGTACAACTCCTACTACGCAATACTACTAGGTTCCGTACATCCATCTTCCCTACCTATGCCTTAGGGACCTCTCAGGACCTTACAGGGACCTCCTCCAGGGTCACATCTCTCTGTCTGGTCTACTACTAGGTCATTCCTGTCCTCGGTCGCGGTTCCCGTAGCTCCCTTCGAGCTCCAGCCTGCTCCTAGCATGCTACAACATAAACTCTCTATACCAAACCTACCCTAAGACCTATTCTGACCCAGGTCTTACACTTAGATCACCTTAGATTGTTACTCCTTCTTCTGAATTCTTAAGCATTCTCCCTTGGATACTCTCTACTTCGACCTCAGGACTTATACGTTCTTTGGTTCACTCCTTGTTGTTGGCCTTACCGCCGTTCCGACTTGGCTGCTACTAGTTGTCTTCTCACAACTCTCAATCTCTGGAGACTAACGGTGTAATGGCGGTGTTGTTAATGACTTCACTACCGACCCATTCGACCTTCCGCCCTTAGACACCTTGTGGCCTCTGGCATGGCTTCACGGTGTACATGATCTTAACACTCACCATCATTCAGCTGGCCTTCCTTTGTGTTTCAACATTGGGGATTAGAGGTAGAGGAAGGTAATGGCTCAATGAAGAAGGGTTAATGAGACCTGCCATTGTATTGTATACCCTAATACTTGTACCTCAGTCACTCTGTACTGTAACTCTGCCTTGGTGGCCTGGTGTCAGTCTACCTTCTCCTTGTGGGTTGAGCTCACTGCCATTGGACCACCAAGACCAGCTGTTCCAATCTGGAACCACACTTCCGCATATCTATCTATCTATCTACGACATGATATGAATTCCCCTCACCTCCGGAGTTGGCCTGGAGGTGTTTGAGACCGCAATAGTGCACAATTGATAAGCAACAAAAATGTGCTTCCTTAGCTCAGTCGGTAGAGCGCCAGTCTCATAGTTAATTATGAGCAGTCTCATCCTGCGTAATCTGGAGGTCGCAAGTTCGAGACTTGCAGGGAGCAGTTATCTTTTTCATCAGCGTTCGAATTTCTTTTCTCTAGCCCCCTCACGGTAAGTTTGCCTCGATAATTTTGTCACATCACGGAAATCAGCGTCTGTAGCACTAAGATCGTTACAGATAAAAATCTCGTTAACCAACTTTTTGAGCATTTTCTATGGTTATTGTTGCTCGGAAAATACAGGAAAAATGCTAAGAAAAGCAAAACTCAATAAATGACCATAAGGCTTCGTAGGCGCTGATAAACAAAGAAAAGAATGTCACTTTGGACATCACCTGATGTGACAATTATGCCTTTCACTAAACCTACATACGACCTTTAATTAAGTCTACATCCGCGTTTACATCGCAATGTTGGCGGTAAGTACACGGGTATCGCAAGGCATATAGATCGATATTCTCGCTATGAAACGCCTCTCCTTAGACCTGTCCCCAATCCCATGCCAACTCTTACTAAAGTCTCTAAAGCTGCCCGACCATTTATCACTAGGTCTTCATCCCACTCTAGCACACCCGGTTCAAACAATAACACGATGGTTGACCCGCCGAACGCGAAGTAGCCAAATTCTTCCCCACGTTTGACCCACTGGCCCTCCTCGACTGTAGTTTGTATTGTCCCGACCATCATCGCGCCTACACAGACGGCCATTACACGTCCGAACTGGGGCGAATCGATCGGTACAATTTTCCTAGCGTTCTCGCCATACACATCCAGAGCAGTGCGGATGGCTTGGGGCTTGAACGAGATGATTTAGTAAAGATTTCGTGCATAGATGAAGGACTTGCCGTACATTTACAGTATAATACTCGCCAGCGATGTACGTCATATTTCCTATCCTCCCATCCACAGGAGAATGGAATCGATGATAGTCTTGAGGAGCAAGTCTAAAGATCGCCAATGCACCGCCATTGTAGCGTTCTGCTTCGGCCTGGATCGAAGAAGGATGTTGGCGGTAAATTGATGATACGTCCTACTACGCAAATCAAATCTCACCTTGTAAGCATTCCCTAGAAGTCTTGCAACGCTAAACTCTCTCCCTTTGATCCAGAGCCTAGTCGCTTCGCTCACAGACTCAAATGCCATGAATCGGCAGTCGGCGGCAGAGATCATGCGGTAAGGGTCTGAAGGAGAGTCGACAGGGCGAGCATCAGGTTTAAGTTTCCTGGGTACGAAGCGTAAGTCGCAAATCAAATTTTCAGAAAACAGACGTAAACCCACCGATAAAAAAACTGATTGAAGGTCTTGAAGCTTTTCACCGGGTCCCTTACTTCATTCATATCAAGTTTATGAAACTGAATGAATGGTAAAATGTCCCGAACGCTTTCCGGAGAGTCGTACTTGACACCTTGTTTGATTGAAAGTGATTTGAGGAGACGTCGAGCGCGAGAACCTTCCATGCGAGATTTCATTCCCTATGATGAAGAACAACAGTGTCAGCTCAACAACGTTGCATGCTCTTTCACGAGCCAATTACCTTGTAAAGTAAACGGATCCCCAACCGTACGTATACCTGCATTTTTTCTTCTTCCAGTTGTCCCGTTGACCGGTTCTGCACAATGATATTGGCGGAATTCTACATGACCCTACATGGTAAGTAGGAATATTCTGGAGAAAATTCGAACACTTACTGCGCCCAGCTTGTAGTTCCCACTGCTCATTTTTCCGATGATCCTCGTATACCATTTCCTCTGTGCCTGACTTGCAGTGACAAAATTACCCACCACAATTCGATCGACCTTGTTCCAATCCTGCGATGCGCAGATAGCAAGATGCGTGACGATGTCAACTTCGGCTTTTGCGTTCAACCGCGGACGATGACAGAGTGGACAAGTTTGGACATTGATCACACGTTCAACTGCGGAGTCGAGATTTGGGTTTGTGACAGCGGAGGGGGTAGGAGGTGCGGTACCGCTGGTGGAACTAGAGTAAGAATGAGAGAAGGTGATTGATGATGGTGGTGGTGCTAGGGCAAATGTGACAGAACTACTGGGAAGTTGAGCAGCTGTTCCCGAAGGGACAGTCGAGGATGACGAGACAGCCGGACGAGAAACAACTTCTTTTCCATTACTACCATTCTTAGGATACTCCATCAACCCATCCATATCGACATCAGAGGACAAGTATGAGCTACTGCCATAATATGCGTCATACTCGCCAGAAGGAGTCGTTGCCGAACTGGAGCTCGCGTTTGTTTCTGCACCCTCTCTTCCTGCAGCAGCTTGCGTCAACGGCAGCTGTGCACCGTTTTCCATCGCATAGGCCTTGGGAGCAGGTACTCTGTCTGACTCTAGAAACTCTGCATCCGGTAGTCCAGGGCTTATCATTGCGCTCAATGGAGGGCCGGAGAAGTCCAGCTGTTCAAGGGAAAGCTCTTTCCCCCTCCTGTCTGCAAGCATCATCACTGGGGTGGCGCTGACAGAGCTCTCGTATCCTCCATCATCAGCGCCGAGTCTCTTTTTCTGGCTCTCGGGTCGGCCTAACTCTGTTTCGAGACATTGTATTGTCTCTGCCATCGTAAGTTCCTCTTGCCATGGATCCTTGTTAAACCGAGTAAAGAACGATTTGATGGTAGCGTTAGTCAGGGTCGATCCTAGAGAGTCAAGCATCGATGTGAGTTCCAGATGGGAAAGCATGCCTGTATCGTCAGTGTCGTATTGCTTGAGATATTGCAGCCAAAATCGTTGCCGCAGGGCAGCATAAGGTTGATACTTCCCCCTGAAGAGTAGAGGGGCCGATGAGTTGAGCGTATCGCTACTGAGTATGAAGGAAAGAATTTTATTCATACCTTAATGATATAAAAGGGTGGTATTTGGCTTCCCAAGGCATCTCCTTAGCTGTCCTCACCGGAAGTTTGAACTCTTTCATCCCACTTGAACCACTCCCTTGACCGTCGTCCAACGGATACAACCCCGTCTTTGGATCTACACCCCGGCCATCCTCAAAGGCTGCAATTAACTCGCTTACGTCAAAGTCACATTCGCCGATATAATCATTGGAGGATAGCTTGTCCCAGTCTAAGACGGTGAGATGAACCTGGTGGTATAAGAAAAAGATAGCAAGTCAATCAGAGGACGATGCTTTCACGTGAATGAGTCACGTACCTTGAAATTCGTTTCGTAACGCCGAACGTGGAAGAGTAATTTTTCGTCGAAAGATGGATTGAGCGAGTGGCGGATTACGCGGGTGCGGAACACTTTTTTCCCGAAAGAAACTACGATGAAGGGATCCATGTCCCAGCCGGTTCGTGTCACTACGGAGAAACACAAAACACATACATGAGTACAAGCGCGTCAATATATAGGCCGCGACCAAGGCCTGAAAAGCTGAGTGACTTACTGTTTTTCAGCTTGGGTAGATCTTCTGCTTTCTGTATTTCTAACATCACAATTCCGACGATATCATTACTTTCCCCACCACCGAAGCTATACGCAGGACGTTTCCTCCGTTTTCCTTCGCCTTTTCTCCTAACCTTGGACTTCTCGCCAGAAGCGGATGCTTTCGTTTTCTCTTTCTTAGTTTTAGTGGAATCTTTCTTTGTCTCTTTTTTCTCCTTTACTTTCCCTTTTTCCTTCGCCTTGCCTTTGTCCTTCTTCGTAGCTTTGCCGGGTTTCTTGACCTTTTTACCCATCGCAGTCTGTGTAGCCGCGTCCTGGTTTACTGTCGGGTCTATTGCTTCCCCTTGAGGAGGTGAACCCAACGTTGAACCGGGTGAGGTCGTGGTACCTGAGAAAGGCGATGCCGAGCTGGAAGAAACAGGGGAGTCCATCGACAACGAGCGCCGTGGGCGTGTTGGTACCCGGACTCCGCTCCAACTCTTCCGGAAACGCGATTTCTTTGTCGAGTTCTGTTCTAACTCGCCGGGGTCTGTGATGTTCCCGTTAGCAGATTCGTTCGGAGAAGATGAAAGTACATTTGGCCTCGTTGGATGGGCACCGGAAGTAGAAGCGGCGGAGAAAGGTAACCGAGGAACATCCTCCGTTAAGTCATAAACAGGACCTTGAGAGGATGGAGGTGAGGTAATATTCGCACTCGTACTCCTGCGACTGGGAAACTTGGGTTTCGGGATCCGAGGGAGTATACTTGATAGTCCAGCACTTTTGGGGGTAGTAGGAACTGGATCTTGGGATGAGAATGAGGAGGGTGTTTCGGTTCCTAAACGAACACCTGTGTTCCCGGAAAAGGTCGCTGCTCTAGTTGGAGATAGGCGGAACTTGCTAACAGTGGAGCGGGGAGATGCAACAGTGGAAGCCGAAGGGTAGGCACTCCCGGTGGTAGGGGTGACTGAGTCTGATTTCGCTAGTATGCCATCCGGCGACACATACGTAAGGTCAAGCGCAGGAGGCGGTGGGTTACGCATAGATGGAGTTTGAATGGGCAATATTGGCGAGAACTCCTTTGCAGGAGGTGATGAAGTCACCTGGAAGGAATTTGATCGCGAGAATGCAGGAGCAGAGGCAGGAGGGGTGTACAACGCAGAGAACGAGATTGGAGGTTCTGGAGTGTGAGATGTGCTAACAGCGTATGCGCCTGTATTAGATGCAGTAGGCGTCGTCATCGGACTCAGTTCAGTTGGGAGGGTAGGGGTTCGAACGTCCCCTTCTTCAGGGTCCTCGCCATCCTCTGATTCCGATGTTTCTGATTGAGAACCCTCTTCATCTTCCTCAGAAATCTCCGCGTCAGAGTTAGAGTAACACGAAGAAGAATCCGATTCGGAACGGTCTTCTTCCGGTTCACTCTGGTATTGCGCGTTTCTGACTATGAAATCATCTCCTGATCGCACCCCATCTGCGTCGTCGACCTCGTCTTCCTCACTACTGCTCAACCCACCATCGTCTTCGTAAGGGTACCCTGCTTGATATCCGTTCTGGTATCCATTAGGAAATTCGTTAGTAGTGTCGAGATTAGACAGATCGATGAAGTTGGAATTATCCTCAGGTCGCGCGGAGACAGTGGCATGTGAGCGAACCGTGCCGACACCTTCAGTCTGTTCAGATATGGAGGGG